ACACCGTGAACACCTTTATTCCTTGTTACATGTGTCTATAGCACCATTTTTAATGACTACACAGTGTTAGGTTGTTGAGAAGGACTGTGATTTGTTTACTAAAACCTCTGTTGCTGATAGTGCTTCAGTGAATATTATTACAATATTTTTACATCTTTTCATAGTCATCCAGTTGTTTCTTCAAATTCCTAAATGTGGAATTGATGGTCACAAGGGTGGCTGCTTCAACAGCTTTTGATATTTGTTGCAGTGCCCTTAAAGAGACAGTGCCATCCTTCCATTTATCCTTCCAGGCATCTGTTTTTTCATTCACTTTTCCCTCCTTCCTCTATTAGCCACCCATCCATCATCTGTCAGTCCACCTACCTGTCCATCCATCCATCCATCCATCCATCCATCCATCCATCTACTCACCCACCTGTTCATCTACCCACCTGTCCATGCATCCATCTATCCACCCACTCACCCACCTGTTCATCCACTCACCTGTCTATCCATCCATCCATTCATCTACTCACCCACCTATTCATCCACCCACCTGTGCACTCATCCATCCAGCCACCCACTCACCCACCTGTTCATCCACCTACCTGTCCATCCATCCATCCATCCATCCATCATCCATCCATCCATCCATCCAGAAGTTACGTATTGCTTAAAGACAGTGCCATCCTTCCATTTATCCTTCCAGGCATCTGTTTTTTCATTCACTTTTCCCTCCTTCCTCTATTAGCCACCCATCCATCATCTGTCAGTCCACCTACCTGTCCATCCATCCATCCATCCATCCATCCATCCATCCATCTACTCACCCACCTGTTCATCTACCCACCTGTCCATGCATCCATCTATCCACCCACTCACCCACCTGTTCATCCACTCACCTGTCTATCCATCCATCCATTCATCTACTCACCCACCTATTCATCCACCCACCCCGTGCACTCATCCATCCAGCCACCCACTCACCCACCTGTTCATCCACCTACCTGTCCATCCATCCATCCATCCATCCATCATCCATCCATCCATCCATCCATCCATCCATTCATCCATCATCCATCCATCCATCCATCCATTCATCCATCATCCATCCATCCATCCATCCATCCATCCATCCATCATCCATCCATCCATCCATCCATCCATCCATCCATCCATCCATCCATTCATCTGCTCACCCACCTGTCCATCCATGTGTCCATTCATCCCCCCACCCATCCAACCATCCATATTGTGCTGAGGACCCAGACCTGGGCTCGGCACTGCAGCCTGCAGTGAACATGTGGTCTCCATCTCAGAGCTCAGTCAGCTGTGGGAGGCGGGGAGTCAGCCGTGGGAGGCAGAAGCCATCCGCAGAATAAGAAGTCCAGGAACTGAGGTGTTGCAGGAGGGGGAGGCATCAGCACTGGGAGTGGTGTGGGTGGGGGCTTTCAAAAGATTTGTGATCTCTGAGCCACAGGCCAGGTGGGACTGGAACCCAAGACGGGCCGTTTCCTGGAAACCATCCTGACTGAGCACCGCCTGCCAGCCACGACCCAAACAGCAGGGGCTCCTTACTGGGCTCCTGCCCAACGAGATCTGGCGGTGTCCGTCCCAGATGCTCAAGTCCTCAGCCCCCAGCTTAGAGACCAGTCCAGGGCACGGATGGAGACAGAGACAGAGACCGAGAGAGGGAGGGAGAGGGACAGCGAGAGGGAGGGGTGGGTGAGAGGGAGGCATGTGTTCTGCTCGGAGGAGGACTCTGCACCTAGGGAAGCCAGACAGTGGAGGAGCGTTGATGATACCGGCTTCAGCCTGACTTCACCTCTTCCTGGCTTCTTGACCTTGGGTGAGGTTACTTTGTGTCTTGTTTCCTTATCTGGAAACTGGACAGAACAGCAGTGCTGACCTCATAGGGGCGGGTGAGGATGGAGCAAGAGACAGACCAGGGGCTCTGCCCTCGGCCCCCGCAGGAAGGGCTGGCTGGAATGTCTTCGTGTTTTTCTTTCTCTTACCAGGCCTGAGTGCTGGGGGGCTTTCCGTGTCCCCGGAACCCAGCACAGCCCCTGATGCAGACGTGCTAAGCTGTGTTTGTTGATGGGGTGGGGGGGCACCCCCATGTGAGACGATTTAAAATCGGAGCCAGCAGCTTCACTTAACCTTCCAGAGTCACGGCTGGATTAGAAGAGAAAACTGTTTTTCTTTTTACAGACAGAAGAGACCAGGGCCTTTTAATTCCATTAAGTGCTGAGAGAGAGGAAGCCATGGGGGTTTTGGGTGAAAGGGGCGGACGGTGGAAAAGCAGGGTGAAGCCGTGCGGCGGGCGGCGTGGGCAGAGCTGACCGCAGCTCGGGGCTGTTGCCTGGAGACGTCTGTGTTCAGGCCTTTGTTGGAGATGAGCTGGCGACATTCGGGCATTCAAGTTTCTTCTGAAGAAAAATGGGGCTCCCAGACCTTTTCGGTAAACGAGGCTGGGCTCTCTGGGCTCTGCTGATCCCAGAGCCGGGGACTGGGCTTCTCTGCAGGCGCACACCTGGGGAGGTGAGGGACACTTGTGTGGCCAATGGAGAAACCCCTCGAGGCTCATTTAAGAGGCGCTCCAGGAGGGGCTGCTCTGGACGGGGCCACGCCCAGGCACCTGGGTGTGTGGAAAGTCGACTTTCATTGATACCAAGGACTGAACAGCCCCGTCTGGAGATCGAAACCTCCCAGGAAAGGTTTCAGCCAACCCCTGCCTTTGTTCAGGCTCCGGTAGACGCATGTGAGTGGAACGTGAGCCTCGAATCATCGGGGTGCAGCCTCCCTCTTCGTGGGGAGTTCTGTGGTGTCCATCATGGCCCAGTGTGTGATGGCAGGAACCAGAAGCACTGGAAATGTCCATCTGGGCAGGAACAGGTGAAGGAACGAGGGTGTTCATATAGAGAATGCCAGGTCGGGCGGTGCAGCGGCTCACTCCTGTAATCCCAGCACTTTGGGAGGCTCAGGTAGGAGGATCGCTTGAGGTCAGGAGTTCGAGACCAGCCTGGGCAACATAGCAAGACCCATCTATTAAAAAATTTACAAAAAGCAGGTGTGGCAGCATGTGCCTGTATGGTCCCAGCCACTCGGGGGGCTGAGGTGAGAGGACACCTTGAGCCCCGGAGTTTGAGGCTGCAGTGAACTGTGGCAGCACCCCTATACTCCAGCCTGGGCAGCAGAATGAGACCCCATCTCTTCAAAGAAAAGAATACTAGGCAGCCGTAAAAGGAGCAAAGAAGCTTCCAGATTGGTGTTTTCACCCAGGTGCATTTCAGAAAATACGTGTCAGGAGGGAGAATAGAATTGCGAAAGGGTATATTTATGTCAGTGATATGCAGTGATGCAGACACCCCTGGAAATGCACGCTTTTCACGGGTGCACACGTGTGATCACGGATGCCCATGTGCGAAGTGGTGACACAGAGCGAGCGTGTTGGAGGCGGCACTTGGCCTCCACACCCGGGCCCCAGCTGTGATGCCGGACGGCTTCCCGGGAGAGAGCGGTGGAGGCAGCGTGGTCCCGAGTCGGGTGGCGGGGGGTACACAGTGTCCGTTTGCTTACTTATGGCAGTTAATGGAATATTTTACCATTATAAGTTGAAATTTTTTTTTTTTTAAAAAGAGGGAGGAATTGTAAAATGATTTCTTAAAGATCTGTTCATTCTGAGAACCCATTCTTTGTGGTTTTGAAGAAATGCAGTTAAGAGCACAGTGCCAGGACGGCTCCTGCAGATGTACACCAGGGAGGCTGTGGCCAGGAAACGTCGCCTCCGGGGCCAGGTGCCTGGGACGGGGGCTGGGGCAGCATGGCCAAGCCCCACCACCCAGGTGGGCAGACAGTGGAGGCCCCCAGCCCTCCCTACAGCCCTGCTACCCACTGACCCCTCCTGCAGTTCTGCCCCCCTCCCGGAGGAAACAGGAAACTGAGTTGCCCGGGAAGTTGGGAACAAGGACTCAAAAAAGAAGCATTTCTTAAATAGACAGAAAACAACCACTATTTTAAGAATGTCTTATTCATGGGCCCTGGAACCGGGAGGGTCAGGGCTGTCTGGATCTTTGATTTTATATTTGTTTCCTGGGTGGTTCAGCCCCCATCCCCGTGAGTCAGGGTGCACCTGTGGGCCGGCAAAGGTTTCCAAGAATCTCCTTTTTTAGTCATCAGGGTGGGCGGGAGGCTGCCCTCGGAGCGTCCCCGTGGGTGCACTCGCTGCCTGGGTCTCTGGTTTCTTGGCATCACGTTGTGAGCTAAGTGCTCGTCGAGGGGTCCAGTCTCCGAAGGTGGTTATTGCATCTGTTAATAAGAGTGGGACGCCGGCACTATGTTCGGGGGCAGGTGCCCCTCTACCTTCCTGGCCGACAGGTGCTTCTCCACTTTTCCCGGGCACCTCTGCCAGCTCCCCCATGCCCCTTGGGTCCTGTTTGCATGGTCCATTTCACATCCAGATTTGGAACACTGGACAGTCAGGCTGCCCAGTTGGCACAGCCCCAAGACTCGGCCTCACCAGCTTCGAGTTTGCGTGTCACGAAAGGTCTGTGTTTTCCACAGAGAGGCTCCGAACCTCCCTTCTGTGTCAAGGGTCCCAGGATTCTCCTTGGACTGAAAGTGTTCTCCCTGAAAGGAAAAAAATGCAGATTGCTGGTTGTATTCTTAGTAGAATTGTATTTACTGGCGGGAGAATGTTCACAATCTATTGTTACTTTTGTTTTTCTAAATGGAGTACAGAATGCACGTATGGTGTGACCCCATTTCTGTAAAAACCAAAACAGCAAACTGCATCTGTGCACAGAACAGAAATGGGGCTGGGAGTCTGTATGCCCGGGGCTCGCAGTGCCATCTCCGGCCCTCGGGTCATGAAGGATTTCAGTTTTCTTCTTTGAACTCTCATGGATTTTCTCATTTTCCCTGATGACTGTGAAGTGATTTTTGTGAAGTGAGGGGAGGAAGGGTTTAAATGTCCCCACGCTGCCTGCAGCCCTAATTTAGTGTGTTTTGCTTTTCAGTGACATATTCGATGCCATGTTCCCTGTCACTCACATCGCGGGGGAGACCGTTATACAGCAAGGTACGTTCCGCCTGCTCCTCCGAGCCAGAGCCTGGAGGGGAAAAATGGACCGTGCACCTAAAAAAAAAAATAGTATAAGGCCAGGCATGATGGCCCACGCCTGTAATCCCAGCACTTTGGGAGGCTAAGGCAGGCGGATCACCTGAGGTCAGGGGTTCGAGGCCAGCCTGACCAACATGTTGAAAACCTGTCTCTACTAAAAATAAAAATTAGCTGGGCGTGGTGGCAGGCGCCTGTAATCCCAGCTACTCCAGAGGCTGAGGCAGGAGAGTCCCTTGAACCTGGGAGGCGGAGGTTACGGTGAGCTGAGTTCGCACCATTGAACTCCAGCCTGGGTGATAGAGTAATACTCTGTCTCAAATTTTATAACATATATACACTTATACATATGTACACACACATAATATGCACATATGTGTACATATATGCATGTATATGTGCACACATGCATATGTATATGTATATATACACATATATACATATGTGTGTGTATAAAATATATACATGTATGTATAAAACTAAAGTAATAGAATTATACACACACACACACATACATGTATAAAACTCTCATTGTTAGGCTGGGTGCGGAGGCCAAGGCAGGTGGATCACCTGAGGTCAGGAGTTCGAGACCAGCCTGGCCAACACGGCAAAACCCCATCTCTACTAAAACTACAAAAAAATTAGCTGGGCGTGGTGGCACACCTGTAATCCCAGCTACTCCAGAGGCTGAGCAGGAGAATTGCTTGAACCTGGGAGGCGGAGGTTGCAGTGAGCCGAGATTGTGCCACTGCACTCCAGCCTGACTCCATCTCAAAAAAAAAAAAAATACAACAAAAAACAAACAAAAACACCTCTCATTGTTTACAGAGAGTTCACTAATGAAACTTTATAACAGAGAGTTCACTAATGAAACTTTATAACAGGCTCTTTAACGAGTTATCTCAATGTTTCCATAATCTTGTCATTAAAAAAGAATTGATGGCACCCAGGATGTTGCCTGAGGAGGGTCTATGCAACGGTGTTGCAATAGTTGTTTGCAAGAGAGACTGTAAGTTCTATGTCTTGATGTACTTTGTATCAGTTGACTTTCTTCTTTTGTTACAGGGAATGAAGGAGACAACTTCTATGTCATTGATCAAGGGGAAGTGGATGTGAGTATCACTCTCTTTGCAAAATAGTGCGTCTTTGCGTGTCCTGTGTGAAGACTTGCCCCTCTGTGCAGCACCAGGCCCCCAACAAACACTGCGCTGGGTGCCGTATTTCTAGGGTTTTAATCCAGAAATGTAATTGCTGTGTCTTAGAAGAGAATGTGGGAATATCGGAAATGCAGAGGGAAACGAGGGTGGTGCTGGCAGGTGGCGGCAGCGGCCACAGGACTTCCACGGCCGCTGTCCTCTGCTTGCCCCCGGGCTGGGACTGCTGGGTGCTGGCCAGGGTGGTTCTGTTTGACCCAGCACCATCTCCAGATCTGAGGCGGGTGAATACACCAGCCTCACCCACCACGTGGGATGTTAACGTCTCAAAGTGGGTGGGAGACTGGTGTGCTTACAGACCCCATAGGACCGACAACGTCACGGTCAGACAGCGGCGGCCTTTTCCACCTGTGTTCGGCTCCCCACTCAGAACGTCCAAGTCATGAGTCAGGTCTCACTGTGTCATCTTCCCACGCTTGTCTCAAGAGCAGAGGGCCCTTCCTTTTATGAGATGCTCCCACTGTTTTGGAAGGAGAAGCGTCCCCTCCTCTGGAGACCCTGTCTCGTGCCCCATGGCCAGGCCGGGATGCCGGCATCACCCCTGGCCCTCACAGCCCGGTCTTGCCCAGAGCCTCTGGCTCCCATCTCGTCCGCCGTCTGGTTTAGAGCCCGGGTGCTCTGGTGTGAAGCTTTGAGGTTCCCTCATCCCCTGCTGGGCTCCCCCCTGACGGCAGCCTGACCTTGCCGGTGCCGAGCGGATGGCGCGGCCTCTGGGAAAGCACCCCTAGGAGTTTGTTTCCCTTTGAATCAGGCCCGAGCCCCTGACGCAGTCACCGGGAAGGACCTCAGTGACACCATCCTCCCTCCGTTCCTGGAATCTGCCTGCACTGGCAGCCCCAGGGTCTTGGTGTGTGCCGCCCGCTCTGCCGGGAACCCTGTTAGCTCCTGCTTCTCCTTCTCTCTGCTAAATGTCACTTCCCAGTGGGCGTCAGCAGACATGTCCCACGCCTCCCTCGAAGAACCCTCTGCGGCTCGTGGTGATGACCTCTCCTGAGACCGTCTCTTTACGGCCTTTCTGCACACGGCCCGGATGCCCCCACGGTGCAGGGTGCTGTGAGGGTCTGTGATACCCGAGATGGTCACTGCTTCCCAGGCTGGCTGAGTCGTCTCTGGGTCTGGGATGCCTGCCTGCCCTTCTCCTTGCCCACCTGCCCTGGGAGGTGGCCTCCGTGCTCTGCTGTGCAGGCAATGCCATCCCCCGCTGCCCAGCATGAGCTATTTCGGGGTTTGTCCTCCGGTGGGCTGTGCCTCTGTCCAGGCCACGCTATTCCGGGGAGGGCATTTTCTCATTTGTTTCCGTGGCAGCCGCCGAGTCTGTCCCCCATCGCGCCGTGTTTCTGGGAACCTGAGCAGGCCCGCTCTGTTCCGGAGCTGATAGCACAGGAAATGACTCAGGGGTCCCAGCTCCCCGCGAGGGGCACGCGCCTCAGGCCCGGCCCGCACAGGCGGGGAAAGAGCCGGTTTCTCTTCTCCCTGGTGTGCTCTGTCCTGAGCCGGAACCCACGGGCTGGGCCCCTAGACCGGGCCTCTGGGGCAGACCTTTGTCTGGCAGGGAGTGGGGTGCTCCTGTCTCCCCCAAAGACGGAAACTGAAGCAGGTGCCAAAGGTCCCGGGGACTGTCCGGCCTCAGAGGAAGTGTGGAGGGGGAAGGCTGGAGGGCGGCACTGGCGGGTCAACCCTGGACTCGGCTGCCAGGCCACAGAGTCATCTCCTGCTGGCTTTGCTTCCAGTTTAAAAAAAGCCCAGCCCAGGAAACAGAGAAGACAGAGGAGGATGCGGCCAGCATCCCAGCCGGGCATCGTCCTGGGGCCTGGGCTCATCCCAGGAGGTGGCCCCGTTGTGCCCGGCATCCAGACACCAGGGCCTGATGGGGGGCTGCAGGGAATGGGGCTGAGCCCCCAGCAGACGGGGCAGGGCTGATCCCAGAGAGACCCTGGCAACCCAGGCCTGCCCAGCGGTCAGCAGTGCTGAGGGCAGAGCCGCCTCTGCGGGGGGTGTGGGGTGGGCAGGTTCCTGACTGTACCCACCGCTTTCCCCAGCCCCAAATCTCATGCTACTCACAGCCCCTCTTCCAGTTCACACTCCGGGTCCCGGTGTCACCTCCTCCCCTGCCCTCTCCACTCCAGGTCCCGGTGTCACCTCCTCCCCTGCCCTCTCCACTCCGGGTCCCGGTGTCACCTCCTCCCCTGCCCTCTCCACTCCGGGTCCCTGTGTCACCTCCTCCCCCATCCCCTCCACTCTGGGTCCTGGTGTCACCTCCTCCCCTGCCCTCTCACTCTCTGGATCTGGTGTCACACCTCCTCCCATCCTCCCACTCTGGGTCCGGGGTGTCACCTCCTCCCCCATCCCCTCCACTCTGGGTCAGGTGTCACCTCCTCCCCATCCCCTCCACTCTGGGTCAGTGTCACCTCCTCCCCACCCTCTCTACTCTGGGTCCCGGTGTCTGCCTCCTCCCCTGCCCTCTCCACTCTGGGTCCCAGTGTCACCTCCTCCCCATCCCCTCCACTCTCTGGTTGGTGTCTGCCACCTCCTCCCTGCCCTCTCCACTCTGGGTCCCGGTGTCACCTCCTCCCCTGCCCTCTCCACTCTGGGTCCTGGAGTCATCATGTCACCTCCTCCCCCACCTGGGTCCCGGTGTCACCTCCTCCCCTGCCCTCTCCACTCTGGGTCCTGGAGTCATCATGTCACCTCCTCCCCCACCCTCTCTACTCTGGGTCCTGGAGTCATTATGTCACCTCCTCCCCCACCCTCTCCACTCTGGGTCCTGGAGTCATCATGTCACCTCCTCCCCTGCCATCTCCTTCCTGGATGTTTATTGAGTGCCTGCTTTATGCCTGGCACTTGTGATGGGAGGACCTGGTGCCTGCTCTGGTGTGGGGGAGGTTGTGGCTTAATGGGGGAGAGGGACCAAGAACAGGAAATTAGCCAATGAATGTCCTGACTGTGGTTCTGCCCCTCCTGTCCCCTCTGCTCTCATTCCTGCTCTGCCTCATGAACTCCTACACATCCCACAAGACCCCGCCAGGCCCAGCTCATCTGTCTGCGACTGGGCTTCGACAGATACTGACCTCGGCAGATGACCGGGGACCAGGCCTCCCCGCAGTGGGCCCGGGAGCCCCATAGGTCCCCACTGAGGCCTTTCCTCCCTCGTGGAATGCCTCTCCCTCTTGTGTGTCTCCCGATGTCATTCACATCTTCCAATTAAATTCCAAAGACATCTTCAAGGTGCCAGTTTGCATCAGCAGAGCTTGGGGTTGAGGCCACCACAGGAATTCTGTTTTCCACATTCTTTACTTCTCCTAAATGAACAGATGTGGAAGAGACAAACCCTTTACCCAGAATTCCCTCGCGGAGCCTGAAACCCACACGGGGCGCCCAGGGTGTGTTCCCGCCTAACTTGTTGTGTCTCGAGGAGGGTGGTGGACGGGTCCGGCCTGCGTGGACTTGGGACTCAGAGGACCCAGGCTGTGTTCTTTGCTGGCCGTGACCTTTGCCCAGGCCCTTGTGTGGCTGAGCCGTGCCATTTCCATATTACTCAGAAAAACGAACAGAGCTCACCGCTGCCGGCGAGACTGAGATAACCCTCCTGAGGTTCTGCTCTTGGCACCTGCTGTAGGGTGATGGGGCCTCTGTCTGCGCGGCTCCTGTGCCCCTTCATTCAGGAACCCATTGGCCGCCTGGCAGCTTCCCCACCCCGTCTCATGTCCCCAACACACGCACCACAAGAGCCTTGTTGGCCCCGCAGAGGAAACGCCCACCACCCACGCCCCAGGCTTGTCCTCATCCTCAGTATGCGTGGCCACCCTCCTGCCCCCGTGTCAGGCCCCAGCCGGCAGCGTCTGAGGACTTCCTGGGAGAGGCAAGGGTGTGAGGGGCTGGGGGCTGGGACTGCCAGAGGGATCAGGTCCCCGTCTTTCTGCTGTTGGCCTCCAGGCTCCTGGGAGCCCCACCTGGGCCAGGACCTCAGCAAAGGGGCTGGGAGGTGTTGCTGTCCCGGCCGACCTGGCACTCGGCAGGCGTCTTGGCGGGACCTCCTCCTCCTCCTTGCAGAATCCCCACCCACCTCTCCACCTCTGAACTCAGTGAGGCATCTCCCTTCCCTGTGTCCTTCCAGCAGGACAGACCCCCCTCCCCACTCCCCCCGCCGCCGTCTGTAACATGACAGGGCAGTGGGAGAGGCCGGTCCCGGGGCCACTTCAAAGCAGGGACTGTTTCCTCCAGCCCTGAGCTCACAGCATCCCCTCCCAGCCCCAGCCCCAGCCCCAGCCCCGGCCCTGGTTCGGTTAGCGTGGGGTCGGGGCCGAAGCCTGAGTGAGGGGAGATGGTTTTCTCTCAGACGCGAGGCATCGTGGCGCCCTGGCTGGCTTCTTTCCAGGCTCAGGGACGTTGGGAGGCGATTTTGAGAAAGGAAAGAGTGAGGTCACCCTGGTGTAACCGGAGTTCCCCAGATATATTATCCTGGCAAATCCCTCCCCTTCCCCTGCCCCGCCACCGCCCGTCCCTGCCCCTTCCCCAGCCCTGGGTCAGGCACAGAGTCAGCTTTAAGGCCCCTGCTGGACCCGGCCCGCCAGAGCCAGGATGTCTGAGCCCCGTGGGTAGATGCCCGCTTCCTGGCTACAGGCTAACGTGGGACAGCCGGGGCCCCCGCGGGAACCGACTGTGACTTGTGGGGACCGTCCCCTGAGTCCCGGGCGGCTGTGCACGAACACCAAGCACCTCTGTCAATCTCAGATTTTCCAGCCAGGGCAGAGGTGGGCGGCAGGGAGTGCCCGGCGGGGCCGGGTGGGGCCGGGCGCAGGAGCTGCCTGCGGGGGCCCCCTGTGATGTGGGAGGCCCTTCGCGTGCAGGGTAAACCCGCAGGGCCCGTGTGGGTGAAGCCCACATTTAAGGAAATCAAAGGATGCTCAGTCAGGAATCTGGAATAAAAAAGTGGCATGTCGGGTAGCCGGGTGAGTTATGGGCATATGTATTATAATAATTACTGTTATTACGGCACCCAGGGGAGCAGCCGCATGGCAGCTCCAGGCAGCCCTGTCCAGCTGCTGTGCGAACCCTGGGTGCTGCGTTTTGTTTGCTGGTTTCTCTCAGTTGCCTCCCTGGGGCGATGGAATGGATATACCCCAGGTTCGGGGCTGCAGGACTAGGGCGACCCAGGGTCCGAGTGGGTTCCTGGGGCTAGCGGGACCCTGGTTTTATTCCGGGTGGCGGGAACGGATGGCCGGTTGCCGTGGGCATGTCACTGCACCCGGCCAAGTGCCCGAGGCCCAGCAGGAAACCGTCCTCTGAAGGACCCGGCCCTGACCCTTTAAGCCAGCAGGGCTCGGAGGTGGACGTCACCCGCTTCTGCAGGGTGGACACTGCCCTCTGACCAGTGGCGCCTCAGGGGGACGGCCAGGTGACCAACTGCCAAGAGCACCAGGTTCGGTTTAAATTATGGTTTTCCAGAGACTCCAAAAGTGCCTGCTGCTATCTGTGTGTTGCCAAGAGCTATAATCCATTTTTCTAAGTATAAAAATATCTTCCAATGTATTTTATTCATGGAACATAGCATTTCTGCTTAAAAGGACACTCAGCTGCTGACTTCACGGGCCCGGGAACGTAGCTCTCCCTTCCACGCCCTGTGTGGGGCTCGAGTCTTCCCCAAATTGTTTTCGGGCCCCTGTGGTTCCAGGACTCCCTCCTTCTGCTCCCCATCCCTGGCGTCACGTCGTCCCTGCTGACGTCGGCCACCCCGGGCTTCCCTCGGTTTCACACAACATGTCTGGGGGAGGAGCTGTTTCTGGGGGACCAGGTTGCACCGCCAGGCAGCTGGGCGTACCCTGGAGCAGGGTACCTCGGCTTGGTGATCCCAGAGCAGGGCACCTCAGCTTTGCGATCTGATCGGATGTTATTCAGGGTGTGTCTTGTGTTCTGTGTTTTTACACTTCTTCTTTAATTTTTTTGAGATGGAGTCTCGCTCTGTCACCCAGGCTGGAGTGCAGTGGCGCGATCATAGCTCGTTGCAGCCTTGAACTCCTGGACTCAAGCAATCCTCCCAAGAAGCGGGGGCTACAGCTGTGCACCACCACGTCCAGCTAATTTAAAAGTTTTTTTGTAGAGGTGGGGTTTTGCTATGTTGCCCAGGCTGGTCTCAAACTCCTGGCTTCAAGCCATCCTTCTGCCTGGGCTTCCCAAAGTGCGTGATGACAGGTGTGAGCCACCACCCTCAGCCCTACTTTAATTGTAGTAAAAGTTGCACATTGATCGTTCTAACCATTTTGCAGTTTGGTGGCATTAAGCGTATTCATGTTTGTTTGTTTGTTTGTTTTTGAGACGGAGTTTCGCTCTGTCGCCCAGGCTGGAGTGCAGTGGTGTGATCTCAGCTCACTGCAAGCTCTGCCTCCCGGGTTTACGCCATTCTCCTGCCTCAGCCTCCCGAGTAGCTGGGACTACAGGTGCCCGCCAGCTCGCCCGGCTAGTTTTTTGTATTTTTAGTCGAGACGGGGTTTCACTGTGTTAGCCAGGATGGTCTCCATCTCCTGACCTTGTGATCCGCCCGTCTCGGCCTCCCAAAGTGCTGGGATTACAGGCTTGAGCCACCGCGCCCGGCCTCATGTTATTTTATAATTGTCACCACTGTCCATTTCCAGAATGTTCTTGTCTTCTTAAACTGAGGCTCTGTCCACATTACACACTCCCTGCCCGTGCACCTCCCCCAGCCCCTGGCACCCCCACCCCACCATCTACCTCTAAACACAGGGTGAGCGAGTGAAGGTGGGCCGGGGCAGGGCGGAGCCGGGTGTGAGCTCGGCGCTCAGCCAGAGAAGCTGCAGTGATGGTGGAGCGTAAATGCTGCCCCGCAGGGGCATCGTTTCTTCTTTTAAAAGAAGAGAAAGCGCGCGCCGTGGCTCACGCCTGTAATCCCAGCACTTTGGGAGGCCGAGGCGGGCAGATCCCCTGAGGTCAGGAGTTTGAGATCAGCCTGGCCAACATGGTGAAACCCCGTCTCTCCTAAAAATACAAAATTAGCCGGGCGTGGTGGGGCAGGTGTCTGTAATCCGGGAGGCTGAGGCAGGAGAATTGCTTGAACCTGGGAGGCGGAGGTTGCGGTGAGCCGAGATCGCACCATTGCACTGCAGCCTCGGTAACAAGGGCGAAACTCCGTCTCAAAAAGAAAAAAAAAAAAGAGAAGAGAAAACAAAAAAAACTGAGACTCAACAACAAGAAGTAGCCCCTATGCGTACCAGCGGGGGTGGGGCCCGCACGGTGCCGGGAGCGGTGACAGTGACCAGTGTCCTGAGAAGGATGGCCCCTTTGTCCTCCGGGCGGCCGAGCACAGTGTGGCCCTGGCCGTCTGTGGGACCCGCACAATGGTTTCCTCTGAGGCTGCAGACGGAGCTCTCGGAGGCCATGGGCTTCTCCGGGCCTCACGGGCAGTGCGTCCAGGCCCAGCTTCCCCGGGTCCTGCCTGCGGCCGCAGCAACCATGAATCCCCCTTTGGGGCAGAACCCCAGAAAGGTGGGAGGTGCGGCCGTCCCGGGCTGGCCCTGTGCAGACTCACCCTTCTCTGCTCCCAGGGCCCCCGTGCTCTTTGCCAAGGGAGGGGAGTGTCCTGCCACATGCCTGGGCAGCCATTCGAGAGGGGCCCCTGAAGGGGCAAGAGGCTCACTCACCTCCTTGGGCATAAGATGTCACCCGCCTCCCTGGCTCTCCCGTGTCAAGCAAACCCCTGCTGACCTCAGGTTCACATCTTCTGAGTCCACACTGCTCTCGTGGCTCAGCAGGAGGCCCCTGCATGGGAACAGAAGTGCGGAGGGCGCTGGAGGGCGGGGCCCCTGTTGGAACGGTGTTTGGTGTGGAGGGTGCTGGAGGGCGATGGTGTTTGGTGTGGAGGGTGCTGGAGGGAGGTGCCCCGTTGGAACGGTGTTCCGTGTGGAGGGTGCTGGAGGGCGACGGTGTTCGGTGCAGAATGCCTGCTGACGCTGAGCCAGCGTCGAGTGCCACCCCAGGCGTGCATGTCAGTACGGGGATGCTCCTGGCTGCACAATGTGCTGTGCACCCTGGAGTCCATCCCCCACAGCACGGACAGACACCGTGAGACCCACGGGGTGAGCTCCGGATCCCTCTGGGGAAGAGTCCCCTGGGAGTTTATGGAGCCCCCCCCCCCCGCCATCTGAGCGATATGAAACTCACCGGGCTGCCCACGAGGTGGGCGCGTTCCTGTGTGCAAGTTCTGCCTCCATAAACTGGTGTTTACAAAAACTTAGGCAACGTGGGAGTGTCCGCCATAAGGTGGGAGGCCAGACTGTGCCCAGAGGCCATCCCAGGCCCTTCCCCAGCTCCAGGTCCCCTTTGAGAAGCAAGAGGCAGAGGTTCTGGAGGGCGTTCTCTGAGGTCTCCTCGCCCCTAAAATGCCAGAGTTGCTGCCCCCTCCACGTATCCCTGCACGCCCCGCCCAGGTGGGCGCTCCCTGGCTCCGTGGAAGGACGGCCGTCTTCTGATTCCTGGAGGGGATCACTGGGGGGAAGCTGGTGTTTCTTCTGCCCTGTATTCCTGCTCTCGCCTCCCTCCAGGAGGCGGGGAGCCTGGCGGGCCGGGTGGAGGTGATCACCACATCCCTGCCAGGTGGAGTCCGCCTTTGCTCAGTGGTCGTCCCTGTGCCCATGAATGTTCGTGGTTGACCAGTTCTCCCCAGCGCTTGCTTGCACCTAATTGTGGAGTTACACCTGCGTGGCCTTTTCTTTCAGAGAGAAGACTCTGTGCCTCAGTTATTATCCAGATAATGAGTCATTGATTTCAGTAAGAATTGATTCCATGATTCATCGCAATCCATTCTTTCCCGATATGCAACCAGTGGGAACTGCTTTGCCAATGGGAACTATTCTTTAAGCTCATTGACACACAGGGGGGATAAAGCACGTATTGTGTCAATTTATAGTAACCGAATCTGCATAATCACTGCATAATAAACAATCTGCACTATTCTTGCACGGACCTGACTGTGATGGTCAATGCATAGTAGGCGCCCTGTGTGGGGGCGGCGGCCCACGCTGGCTGAAAGGGAATCTTGTCTGGGCTCCTTCCCAGGCGCAGCTCGGCCGCGGTGCCCAGCCATAGGGCACCCATTCAGACTCCAGCCCAGGGAGCTCAGGCCCTGCCCGTAGGGAGGGAGGCCCTGGCAGGAGAGGTCTGCACTTGAGGCCGCCCAGCTCCGTCAGGACCCCGTGGTGTGTGCCGATGGAGGGGGGACAGAGGAATGGCCTGGGGTGGAGAGGAAGCAGATGGGGCCCCCAAACAGAGCCCCGTGGGGATCACAGGCTCCAACTCATCACGGTGCAACTAGGGAAACTGAGGCCCAGACAGACTAAGTGAGAAGCTGACGAGTTGAATCAGACACTGCCTGGGAGGCAGGCTGGGGCCGCGGTGCTGCAGAGCGGGGACCCGATGCTTCCGCCTCTGGTGTGGTCGTCTCATCGGCACTGGCGGCTCGGGGCCTTCCTGCCGTGGGGGTCTGATGTTGTCCCACTGTGGCTCTCAGCACTGCTGGGGGTGGGGTGGGCACTGGGGTCCACAGGCCCATTCCTGGGGAACGCACGGTTCTGCCCACAAGCAAAAGGATTTGTGCCCCGTCCTGCAGGAACCCCTTTCTGGGGAGAGCTAAGGGGGGCTTGCTGCCCGGGGTGCAGAGGAGCTCACCCTGCCTGGCCCCTGTGACGCTTCTCTGTCTTGCTCCCCAAAGGTGTACGTGAATGGAGAGTGGGTGACCAACATCAGCGAGGGAGGCAGCTTCGGGGAGCTGGCGCTCATCTACGGCACCCCCAGGGCCGCGACCGTGAGAGCCAAGACGGATCTCAAGCTCTGGGGGATCGACCGGGACAGCTACCGCCGCATCCTCATGGTGAGTTGGTGCCCGAGCACAGAGAGGGCCAACGCCCACCTCTGCCAGGCGTCCCTGGGAACCCTGGCTCTATTCAAGAGGGGGGCGCACCTGGAGAAAAGAGGTTTTCCAGCCTCCCTGACAGATCTGGCCTGTGAGAGGAGTGGAAAGGGGTGGAGGGACTGGAAGCTTCTTAGAAGATAGGCAGGTAGCCGGGGAGGCCCCTTCACCGTCCTCCCCTTTCTCCTTCCCACTGTCTGGACTGTGGTTGTGATGGCTGGCGCTCCAGCTGCCATATTGGGCCAAGAGGTGACTTTGAGTGTGAAACCCACTCACCATGGTGGCAGAGCAAAGAGGTGTGAGGCGTGGCTGCCTGCTGACACGGTGGCTGCTCACCCCCGAGGCTTCCTGTGTGTGGGGACTGACGCTTGGGCTTTTAGCTTTTTTTTTTTTTTTTTTGTATATGCAGCCAAATCTACTCTGAGCTGTGCACCCTGTACGGTGTGTGCTGTGTGCACACGCGTGTGTATGCCTGTGCTTGCTGTAGGCGGTGGGGGGCCTATGGGCCAGTTTAGCTGCCACGGCTGGTGTTTGCAGGGGCTCCTGGAGGTAAGCGCTTGGGGAGCCGGGGGAAGACCCTTTCCAGGGAGAGAACCGTCTATGCCCTCCCTGCACACACGCCACCTGCCAGGCCCTGTTCTGGGTGCAGGTCCGTGGGGATCACTGGCAGAGCAGCTGGAGTCTTGTCCTGGTGGAGGTGGCCATGAGCACCCAGCCCCAGAGGACAATGCCTGCGCAGAAGGACCACGCTGAGAAGCAGGTGGAGGCAGGCAGAGTGGTGGGCGGGGCTGCTGTTCCGTGGAGGGGCCTCAGAGACCCCCTGATAAGGTGGCGTTGAGCAGAGCCTTGGGGCAGGACGCCCGAGTGCCGGAAGCAGCTCAGGACCGCTAGGGTTGAGGAACAGCAGCACAGGCCTGGGCCGGGGCTGCGGAGCGTGTGTGGATGAGGGGGCCTCCCCGGATGGGGCAGTGAGGTGTTGTCTGGAGAGGGCGGGGAGGGCTCCAGGCTGGGGACCCGCAGCCTCCGCAGGAATCATCCTGTCAGAGTGCATGGGAGCCATGGTGGGAGCTTGAGAGCAGCAGTGACCAGAGCTGACGTGGGCCCAGTTCCCTGGGCCAGCTTGGGGCCATCCAGTGAGGGTAGCCTGTGAGGTCATTTGTCCTGGGAAGCTCTGGGCCTGCCACAGTGGTCTGGGGGGTCCCCGATGGTCTGCAGTCCCCTTGTGGTTTGGGGGTCTCGGGGCCATCCAGTGAGGGTAGCCTGCTGCTGAGGTCATTTGTCCCGGGAAGCTCTGGGCCTGCCACAGTGTCTGGGGGTCCTCGATGGTCTGCAGTCCCCTTGTGGTTTGGGGGTCTCCTCATGGTCTAGGGATCTCATAATTTGGGTCCCCATGGTCTTGGGGTTCCCTCGTCGGGGGAGTCCCCTGCGATCTAGGGGTCCCCCATGGTTTGGGGGTCCCCTTTTCATCTGTAGGAGGTTTCCTCATGCATGGGGGTCCCCTGCGTTTGGGGTCCCCTCACGGTCTTGGGGTCCCCATGGTCCGGGGAGTCCCCTCATGATCTAGGGGTCCCCTTATGGTTTGGGGGTCCCCTTTTCATCTAGGAGGTCTCCTCATGGTATGGGGGTCCCTCAGTTTGGGGTCCCCTCATGATCTAGGTCCCCTTATGGTTTGGGGTCCCCTTCATCTAGGGGGTCTCATGGTATGGGGGTCCCCTCATAGTTTGGGGTCCCCTCATGGTCTTGGAATCTCCCATGGTCTTGGGGTTCCTTCATAGTTTGGGGGGTCCCCTTATGGCCTCAGGTCTCCTCCTCAGCTCCTTCTGTCCCATTGCTGGGCAGAGGCCTCCAGGGGCCAGCACCTGTGGTTTGGGCGGCCGCACCCCTCCACTCGGTCCTTACCCAGCCGTGACTGCTGGGCCGGGGTCCCCTGAGCTGGTCGGGGTTGACGCAGCAGAACCTGGTGGCCGTGGGCTTATTGCCGAGGCAGCCCCGGACAGCGTCTGCTCTGAGCCCTCTCCTTCGGGGCCTGGGGTCCCGGGGTCCAGCCCAGCCGAGGAGGGGGTGAGCCAGGTGGGTGGTGCTGGGGTCCTCGGCCTCTCCTCCATCCCCTCCCTGGGATGGTTCCCTCCACTCCGTGCCCGAGGCCAGCCTGGTTGCTGTGACGGGAGATGAATGGCCTGGTGTCTTCTGGGGGGCTTGGTGTCTCCCGGAAGGCCAGCCTGGGCCGGCGTGATTCCTGAGGAGGGAGCCGCAGTTCCAGGACGCCCGAGGGGAGGCCCGGGGAGAGTCCCGTGGGATGGTTTAGGACAGAGTCCCGTGAGCTGGGAGAACAAGTTCAGCCCCGGGTTTCCCTCTCAGGAGTTCGGTCTCTGATTGGGGAACGAGGATTTGATGGTCATGGGCCCAGACCATGTCCTGCTGGTGCTGGCCTGTCCCAGCCCACGGCGATGCCGGCTCTTGTGTTTTGTGGATGGCGTGTCTGCACAGTCTTTGGGACCGCTGTTTCATCAGGCTCTGCCCCTCATGAGCTCCTCATTCATGCACCTATGGGGCATTGCTTGGGTGCCCGCCCTGGGCCTGGGGCTCCCGCACTGCCAGGGATACCTCAGTACACAGAGCAGGTGAGATGCGGCCTCCTCAGAGGAGTCCCACGTTCTCTCTTCTGTCTGAACCCACTCGCTCCTGCCTTCACCCGGAGGCCTCTGTCACCGCCTGGGAGGGGTCCCCTGAGACACCCTCCCTCCGAGAGGGGCTGAAGCGGTTTTGGGACAGGAAGAGGGCACAGCGGTTCCCATCTCCTCTGGGCGCACCTGGCCTGGCGTTGCACAAGCCGTTTCCTCGCCGTCTTTGACGCCCTGTCGCTCCCGGCTGTGGGATTTTTGTGGTTGGAACCTTATATTCAGGGAAGTTCCCAAACCGCCGAGGGAGCTGGCGCTTCCTCTGTTTTAATTTTGGGTCCTGTGCGCTAAGAATAGCTGGCCGCGCCGGGCCGGTTGGGATGGGAGCACTTGCAGGATGGTGTCTGTTTCTGTCTCGGCCCCGAGCTCCTCACATGGCTCCTGTTTCTGCCTTAGCCCCGAGCTGGGACGTGGGGGGACGCGGGGGACGCGGGGGACGCGGGAGACCCGGTCCGGTGTCTCCGGGAAGCGGATCACCGCCCGAAATGTGAACTCTGACTCCAGTTTAGGATCCCAGAATGTCTGATCTGGGAGACTCCCTGATGCCTGTCTGTTCCCTCCGCTGCTTCTCGTTTTATCCGAGGAAGGATGGGGTTGACCCCACCTCTAGGCTCCCAGGCAGGGGCCCAGCCCGGAGCCAGTACTCCCCAGACTTGCTTTTTCTTTCTTACTTTTTTAAAAATTTTTTTGAAACAGGGTCTCACTCTGTCACCCAGGATGGAGTGCAGTGGCGCAATCTCGGCTCACTGTAACCTCCGCCTCCCTGGCTCAAGCCATCCTCCATCCTTAGCCTCCCGAGTAGCTGGGACTACAGGCATGTGCTACCACACCCAACTAAGCTACAAAATTTTTTTTTTTATAGAGACTGGGTCTCACTATGCCACTGAGACTGGTCTCGAACTCCCGGGCTCAAGTGATCCTCCCGCCTCAGCCTCCCACAGTGCTGGGACTATAGGTGTGAGCCACTGTGCCTGGCCTGGTTTTTCTTTCTTGTAAGCTTTGGGGTTCTCTATTCACCCTGATCCTTACCCGGGACCCCAGCGTTTGGAAGCAATGGATGTAGAATTCTGAGGTGGAGGCTGTGCTGGGGTATCCAGAACCCACCTCCCTAGGCAGCCTAGACCTCCTTGGAACCTGAGTCTGGGGCGGAGGTTGGACCCTCCCTGCCCCTCAGCCCCCGCTGACCGGTATCCGGAGTGACCCTGCACAGCCAGTGGGGCCAGGAGAGTACGGGGCTTCTCCGTTTCTTAGCACAGGCAGTTTGTCACTTGTAGCCTTGAGGATGCTGCTAAGGTCGCGGAGCGTCCCTGAGCCTCGACCCGGGCTTAGTGCCCTACAGTGTCCACGTGAGGCCATGGCAGCCCGGGAGGGCCTGTGCGCACCCTCACTCAGGGGCAGGACGGCGGGCTCAGGAGCTCCGAGGCAGACGTGACATGCTGAGGGTCCCACAGTGCACACGTGGGGGACCCTGATCCATGGGGGGACCAGAGCCGGGATCTGCCTGGCATGTCCACCTCACGAGGCCCAGGCGGGAGGGAGAGTGGGCGCTGTTCAAAGCTCGAAAGCCCCACTCCGCTTGCCTGGGCCTCTTCCTCTTCTCATTGGCCCTGGGGTCTGCCATGCTGGGTTCCACAGCAGTTCCTTCAGACTGAAGTTGCTGCCCCCACAGCCGTGCGTGGGAGCTGGGGCTGGCTTTCTGGTGGGCTTCGCCTCACGGCTTTGGGGGTGCGTGGCTGTGGTGTGACTCTGCTCCTCCCGGCTTTGAAGTGTGAGGGGATGAGGCCGTGATGCAGCCATCTGGGGCCATTGTGGGGACGGCCAGGCATCACCAGCCATGTCACCCCACTGTCAGTGCATCTGCAGGCTGCAGAAGGGGCCAGTCACGAGTGGCTGCTGTATGTATTTTTCTTTTCCCTTTTTTTTCTGTTAATAGAGGTGAAGTCTCGATATGTTGCCCAAGCTGGTCTCTCACGAGCTCAGGCGATCCTCCCACCTTGGCCTCCCAGAGTGCTGGAATTACAGGCCTGAGCCGCCGCACCTGACAGCCGCTATCGATGCTCCAGTTTTCCAGGCTTTCTGTGTGAAGGTGCTGGAGAGATCCCCAGGCCCCTGGAGGGCTGTTGTCCACCCTGCTGCCACCCAGGCCACAGCTCTGACACCTCCAGCTCCTGGGGTGTGGAGGGGACAGGGATATTTTTGGAGACACCGAGGGAGGAGGGGGGTGGGGGGCGACTGGGGCCTCCCTTCCACCTCTGCTTCTGAAGTTTGGTCGGACTCTTCATT